TGATGGAAATCTAGCTCTGCCACTAGAACCACCACCTCCTTCCCCTACTCAGATCTATCGTGTTGTCGTCGTCATCGATGAAGATGAAGAACTCAAATCCGCGAGTGGCTCATGCGTGAGGCCGAGGTTGTTGTTGATCTGTCTCTGAACAGATCTACCTCCACTGTCGTATTTTTGGGTCGATCACTGTCGTAACACGATCTCTGTTTTTCGAGTCTTCAAGATCACGGTTCCGATGAAGTTGACATCGACGAAGGGGTCTGTAATGCATTCCATCGCAGAGTTGAGATTGTCAGAATGTGCAGCGTCGACGAGCCGTTGCGAGACCTCCACTTGGTAATCTACCAGAAGTACTTGCTTGCCGCTATCGATAAATCTCCCGCCAGTGTTCCCAAATACCATCATTCTCTCTCTCTCTCTCTCTCTCTCTCTCTCTCTCTCTATGGAATTGTGATGGAGTGACATGGAATGGAAGGCATCAAGACTAAGCAGGAGAGAAAGAACCAGTTTTATTTGGTACGACAATGGTGACCAAATCATGGGGAAAGGAAGCTCTGACATAGAAGAAACTTTTCTCAGCGTTTGGCTTTTGAGAGACAGAACAACAAGGTGCTTTGTTTATAGGTGTAATCTAGGGTTTTTTGAAATTAAGAACCTTCTCAGTTTATAATATTTTTAATTTTAATCATGAAAAAAAATTGAGAAATTTCTCAAAATTGATAATTATAAATTTCCTAATTTTAATAATATTTTCAGTTCATACCAGAAAAAAATTGAAAAATTTCTTAGTTTTTGATAATTATAAATTGAGCACACTCTCAGTTTTGGGATTAAAGGGCAAAACGTCTTTTTACCTCTAAATGGGACTTATTGATTCAAAAACTTTTTGATATGACCTAAGCTATCACTAAATATGTAGATAGGACTTTTAGGTAATTAATCCTAAAATGAAAAAGTTATTATTATTATCATATTGACTCAATTTTTTTTTATAGATAGTATATATGGAGGGCTTACAAAATAAACCGTTTTAATTATCGAAACGGAAACCTCTAATAGAGCCCCTTAAGTTCTCTTATATGAACTTGAGCCTCTAATCTTTTTTTAGAGCAAGTGCAATTCCATAAATTTTGTATTTTTGTGTTTTTACTTTAGACTTCTGTGTTATGTTTGAATTATAAATTTGTAAATGAAAGGAAAATGAGAAGATAAAAAGAAAATGAAAGGAAAGAAGTTAAATTTATTTTTTTCATTTTTTCTCCTTATAAATCTAAGATCCAAATATATACAGGTTATTGAACTTTTCCTAAAACTGTGATTGAATTTTAGAATTGGGTAGGACTTGGAAAAGAAAAAAAAAATTTGTGAGAGAAATATGAATGAAACATAAGTTAATTTTTTCGTTTATTTTTCACTCATTTTTCTTGTAACGCCCTCAAAATAATACATAAAACCCATCACTTTAGACATGCATTGATATAAAAGAAACCAACCATTTCTATTCATCAGAGTAGTTCTTACAACAGTATTACAAGTTGTAACGCCCTCAAAATAATACGTAAAACCCATCACTTTAGACATGTATTGATATAAAAGAAACCAACTATTTTTATTCATCAGAGTAGTTCTTACAACAGTATTACATGTTAACAACAAAAGCAAATGCCCTATGGGTTTACAGCTTTCCAAGTCAATACCTGGTTACACAAAAAAAGAATACTAACTCTATACAAAGTAAGCCCTTGGCTTGATACACATGTAATACAAACAAAATAAACCAAAAAGGAGTCCTCAACTCTCATCATCATCCAAGCTATGTCCTTGGAGGTAGCATACTACCTGTACCTGAAAATAATGTCCCATATAGGGTGAGTCAATGCCCAGTAGAGATATGCTAAACACAGTATGAGCAGTAACTAAGATATTAGCAATTGATAAATGTTCTATTTTCATAAATCAATTCATAACCCATTTCCATTTCATGACCACTGTGTTCATGTTTCATTTCATTTTCCATTTCTTAACAATTTCACAATTTACATCAACGACTCAGAACCTGACCAACCACTTATATGAGACAGTGACTCATATTAAACGTTTCCCATTTTACAATAGATAAACATACTAGCTGTATCAACATCTCAACATATAAGCATACAAGCTGTATCCACATTTCAACAGATAAGCATATGAGCTATATCAACACTTCCAAAGATAAGCATATGAGCTGTATTAACACTTCCATAGATAAGCATATAAGCTATATCAACACGTTAACTGACAAGCATATAAGCTGTATCAGTGGAGTCCATCCCCTATCTCCTCCCAAACAACATCCGGTTTAGAGGTTCATCCCCTATCTTCCCCTAAACCGTGGAGTACATCCCCTATCTCCTCCCACACACACAATGTATATACATAAAGGTCATATACACAATCAATCAATACATAACGTTAATGTATTCTATCAACCGTCATACTCTATGACATATCCAATTGATTAGTTTTAGTTTGCCTAATCATCATGCATTGTCTACAACAATCAAAACTACCCTCCACCAGTAGCCCAAGCAATTATTTCTAAACAGACAATAAAAGCTCCAACAGATAAAATATCAATGTTTTCAAAAGTGAGTGATTAATAAATCCAACTCCACTATTCTACTATATTAATGAGCCAATTTCATTATTTCCAACTCAATTCCATATAACCACAATTTTTCCAAATTAATCATACCAATTAATTTATACAACCAATTAGGTTTTCTACCCCATTTCCCAATATTGACCCAATGGTCTATATATCAACAACCAACAACAATATCATTATTTTGAAACCCACAATACACATTTTTAGAATCAAAATAACAAAACTCTCTTTTAACATTTTGAAACCCTAAGTCCCAAAATTACCCAACTTCAACACTTTATCAAAACAACCAAAAATCTATGTCAAAGACCATAAGAGTGAGTAGGAATCCCTACCTCAAAAGTTGACACCCAACGAAGAAGATGAAGAAAATGGAAATGCTCTAAATCCCGAGATTCTTGGATCAAAAGATAGCCCTCGACGATCAATAATTTTTTTGTAAAGGCCAAAAGTGAGGAAACAACTCTTACTAGATCAATACCTAGAGAGAAGGCAAGGTTCTAGAGAGAGAAGCTCTCAAATGGCGTTTTGGAAAAGTAAGAGAGAGAGTGGAAGTGTAGAAAATGATTCAAAAATTCGCAGCTGCCCTCTGTTATACGACATTCCCGCTCAAGCGGAAAACACAACGCTCGAGTGTCAAGAACAAAAAACTAGGTATGCTCAAGCGCAAGAAGACCCGCTCGAGCTTCAAGACACAAGAATAAAGTACATCCGCTTGAGCGCGAAAATAGTCTGCTCAAGCGTAGATTTTTATCTCCCAGAACTTTTCAGAAAAAGAACTACCCGCTCGAGCGTCAACAAGCCCGCTCGAGCGCAGTAAACCCGCTCGAGCATAGAAAACACACCTGCAAAAGTTTTGCAAGGACACGAAATACTAGAAGGGCGTAAACCACGCTCGAGCGCAGAATGACCCGCTCGAGCGGACTATACAAAAACTGGGCAACAACAATGGGAGCCAAAGCTCTACCAACCTGTAACAACCAAGCCCAACACAATCTATAACTCAAACAAATGGAATCAAAGGATGACAACAAGGTAGATACAACTACCAACTCCACGGAACCAAAGTCCGGAATACAACAGATACAGAAAGGGAAAACCGGGATCGCTATATTTCTGTTGTTTGGGAAATTCTTACTCAAATTTATAATCCAAACATAGTTAAGGATTTCTTGAGATTATATATTATTTACAACTGGTATAAATTGCAGAAGCAATTTTCATTTTTTCTTTCAGAATTGTTTACAAGACCCAAATGCTTCCTTTGATGGCAATCTGTATCTCAGATTTATCTAGGGAAATTCTAGGACTAATGTACCTTTTGTGTTGTTAAATCTGAAATTGCCAGTCACCTGCTTACTTCACTGTTATTATAGATTATGGTGGGTTTGGTCCAAGTGTTTGAAGTTGTGGAGTTTATGTTGGGTAGCACATCTCTACTAGATCTCCTCTTGGTGGTACAGTTTCAAAGTTAAGCACACAGCCAAACTCAGAAGTGATGTTGTTCTCAATGGAAAAGACCTCCAGGTTGTGTTTGGTTCATAAATTTAAAGAGAAATTTAAAAAGAAAAAGAAAAAAGTGTGCAAAATATATATGAAATGTAATTATATTTTATTAACATTTTATCTCTCTTTTCCCTTTTCCTTTTTAAATCCTTGCCAAGATCCTTGAACTAAACACAACTTCAATTTAAAGATTTTGTAGAGCTGGTGCTAACATTAAGGTTTATGCTGCAGATGTTTTTAGGGGTAATTACAGAAGATTTTTAAAAAGTAATTACATATTAATAAAAAGATTTGTCATTAATTTGTAATTACGTTTTGAAAAAATCACTTGTTTGATATTTTCCCATGTTTTTATCTTCAACCTGGATGGAATCAGAAACAGGAAAATCAAAACTTAGGTGTCATTTTTTGGTGCTAGCTTTATGTATTCACCTGGATGTAATTGCTGGTGCTGTTTTTTTTTTTTTTTTTTTTTTTCATTTTTTGGGTGGCTGATTGTTTGCCAATTACTTCTTTACCATTTTGCTTCCTACTTTGGGGATGCATATGGTTTGCTTTTTATGGGTCAATCTAATTGGGATGTGAGTTTTAGGTCTTGATGTGATCCACCTTAGCTTTCTTTTTCATTGGGTCCGTTTGCTGCAATTTATTATAAATTAAAAATTAATAATTAAAAAGTAGAAATTAAAAATAAAAAAAATTAGTCTCAGGTCCCTCTTCCATATTTGATAATGTAAGAGATTCACAATCTTATTTTATTATGTTTAAGGTCCTCCACCCCCCTCCCACCACTATCTCTCTCTCCCGATCTCTCACCCCCTCCAAGGACTACTGGAGGACTCATATGAGGAAGAAGGCTCAGGAGAGGAAAAGGGCCATGTCACCACCTTCAAATTCATCTTCTTCGGTCTCAAACAATCCTCCGATGGACTCGATGCCCTTCATGGAGACCAAGGAACGAAGCTTCTACGATGCCGGTGGGGATCATGATCAGATGTCGACTCCAAAGGGTTTTGAAGAGGGAGAGAGTACTGAAACAGGGTACTCCATGGATGACATATGGAAAGATATTGCTCTATCTGAAAGCGAAACGATGGAAACAGTTTGTGAAACAATCATGGCTTCTCCAATTTGGAACTAATGTCCTTCTCCTCCTGACATACTTTGGATGATGGAAGACCTCGCTCAAGGACACCTCCGTAGATCTGACAAAGGCCACCGAGACTGTATCGTTGTATCGGAACAAAAGCAAGATCTTCATCCTTATCAATGCAAATGGATTCAATGCCTACTGGTTAATTTATCTAGCCACTGATCCAACTCAGAGAGACAAAACGTCATCTGTTTTTCAACAAGCTTCAAATCATGGCCTCACTCTGACAAGAACTTGGGGATTCAGTGATGGTGGTTACAGAGCCCTACAGTACTCTTCTGGCTCCTACAACAAGCTAAGATTTCAGGTTAATATCAAATTTTTGATATGATAAATTTGTTTTTCAAATAGGTTATTGATGTGTATATATATATATATATATATGTATGTATATTTTAGGTTCATGGATGATGATATATGTGATGTATTTAGAGAAATTTAGTGTTGGTGATATGTAAATTCCAGAGAAATTTAAAACTCAGTGAAACTTAAGTGAATAAAATTGGTGTTTGTGTTTTTATTTGTTTGGTACCCTCAGTGAAATTTACTGAGACAACTCAGTGAAATTTCAAAAAAAACAAACTCAGAGAAATTTTTCATTGCATTTTTCCTCCTCTGTATTTATCTTCTTGATGTATAAAAAGTTGCCCATGATGTTAAACCAGAGAAATTTGTCTCCATCTCTTTATATTATATTAAAGTTTAATATTTTGATAATAATCATATTTATTTTAATTTTTTTAATATATAAATTATGTTTTTTAAGATTTTTTATAAAAATAATTTAATAATCTTATCACTAACCATAGTATACAGAAGAAATTAAAAAGGCTACTGCAGTAACTATACATAGCCTATATCTATAATTATTTGTCTGAGGGAATTTTAAATGCTAATTAAGGATTTTGACCAAATCAATAAATGCAGGCATATAGATTGGAAAAAGTTAATAAATGTTGATCAGGATATTTTGACCAAATCAATAAATGCTGAGGTTTTTTTTTTTAAATCAAAAATTTAGAAAATTAAGATTGAGAGATTGGAGCTTCCACAAAGCTTGGGGTTTAGAAATCTCATTTTCCTTAATATATTTACAATTATCTATATATGTGAATTGTGATTTTTAAATGTCTTTTTTTTTTTTTTTTTCCCTAAATGTTTTATATTATATTAAAGTTTAATATTTTGACAATAATCATATGTGTTACAATTTTTAGGGAATTAAATGTCCTTTTTTTTATTATATTATATTAAAGTTTAATATTTTGATAATAATCATATGTGTTGGACTTTTCAAGAAATTTTTTTTTATGCTTGTTCTTAATGCATTAAAGTGTTATTATAAGGGATAATAATCATATGTGTTGGGATTTTTCAAGGAATTCATATGTGTTGAATTTCAAAGAATTTTTTTTTATGCTTGTTTTTAATGCATTAAAGTGTTATTATGAGAGTAAGACTTGGGGGTTGGGAGAAGTTAATAAATGCTAAGTTTTTTTTTTTTTAAATCAAAAAATCAAGAAATTTAAATTGGGAGATTGGAGCTCCCACAAGACTTGGGGTTAAAAACCCCATTTTGCTTAATATATAGTATAGACTAGCATGTCACCCGTGCTATGCACGAATTGTGTTTACAATTATTTATATATGTGAATTGCGATTTTTAAATGTCTTCTTTTTTTCCTTTTTTATATTATATTAACGGTGATGCTACGTAGCTCGAATCGTCCCTTCCCTGATTCTCCCGAATTCAAAACGACGTCGTTTCGTCGTTTTGATTTTTTTTTTCTCTAAAAAACATAGAAGAAGAACAATGAAAAAAGAAGAAGGAGAAAGAAGAAAAAGAAAGGAGGAGGAGGAAAAGGAGAGTAACAGAGAGAGAGAGAAAAAAAAATCATCAACAACAACATCATGATCATCATCTTCAGATCTTCATCACCATCATCATCAACAACCATTCAACACATTTTCATCATCAACAACAACATCTACATCTTCATCATCATCATCATCATCATCATCATCATCATCATCATCAACAACAACCATTCATCATCAACAACATCTTCATCAACATCATCAACACATTTTTAGAAGAAAAAAAAAAGGGGTTGTGATCGATCGATCGATCGATCGGCGACGGCTGCGATCGATCTGGAAAAAAAATCGGAGGCAGTGGCGATCGGCGACGGCGATCGACCCTCCCCCTCTCTCCATTCCCTCTTCCTCATTCTCTTTCTCTTTCTCTCATTCTCTTTCTCTCCCTCTTCCTTTTCTTCTCTTCCTCTTTCTTTTTCTCTCCATCTGTTTCAGACATAAGGAGAAAAAAAAAAAAAAAAAAAAAAACTGTCCAAAACGACGTCGTTTTGGGCAGTCGGGGTATTCGGGGAAGAAAAATTCGGGAGGAAAATCATTTTCCTTATATTAAAGTTTAATATTTTGATAATAATCATATATGTTAGACTTTTCAAGAAATTAAATGTCTTTTTTTTTATTATTATATTATATTAAAGTTTAATATTTTGATAATAATCATATGTGTTGGATTTTTCAAAATTTTTTTTTATGCTTGTTCTTAATGCATTAAAGTGTTATAATGAGGGATAATAATCATATGTGTTGGGACTTTTCAAGTAATTCATAGGTGTTAGATTTCAAAGAATTTTTTTTATACTTGTTATTAATGCATTAAAGTGTTAGTAAGACTTGGGGGTTGGGAGAAGTTAATAAATGCTAAGTTTTTTTTTTTTTAATCAAAAAATCAGGAAATTTAGATTGGGAGATTGGAGCTCCCATAAGGCTTGGAGTTAAAAACCCCCATTTTGCTTAATATATAGTATAGATATAGATATGAATATATTTTTAATTGACAACAAATGAAAAATAATGTGAACATTCTCTCTCATCTTATGTGAATATATTTTTAATTGACAATACATTAAAAATAATTTGAACATTTTCTCTCATTTGATGTGAACGTTCACAACATCTTTCCGAAAAATTATTTCTCATCTAATGTAGTAATGTGAACATTCACAACATGTGAGCTTTCTTATTTTTAATTGATAACACATTCTTATTCACACCATGTAGTGATATAAACATTCACAGCATTTGAACATTCTCTCTCATCTAATGTAGTGATGTGATCGTTTACATTCATATATTTTATTATGAATATTCATGTTATGTAATTGACAACACAATGACAAAAATTCATTTCAAATTAATATGAATATAATAACAACATTTTAATGTATGTGAACTATCAAAATATAATGATAATCAACATTAAATATCAACATTAATAGGGGGCATGAGAGATTAAGGGTGTTTTAGTCTTCTTACCTCAAATAGAACCTAATGGAATAGTAAAAAAGAATATGGATTTGATAGAATAAAACTCTTATAAAGAGAATTTATCAAAAAAAGCTCTTTTTTTATATTTATTTAACAAATTCTTCTTTCTGCCAATTGTAGGTACTTGTATCACGACTAATACGTAGCAAGCTCTACGGGTGTCACATCATCAAAGCCCCACTCATGTGGTAAACCAATAAGGCACTACGGGGATATATTACATGTTTGATACATGGCGAGCCCTATGGGCGCTATGTCACCAACACCCTCACCTGTATGACAGAGTGCCAATGCACCATGTAAAAACCAAGATTGCATGCTTAGCTTATGCGGGAGCATGCATACAAGTCCAAGTACGAAGAACCCTACAACAAACAGCACCATGGTCTCCGCAGGCCCATGGTCCTTCATAATGCATGCATGATATGTTGCTCTATCGCCTATCATCAAACCACAAACGATAGTAGGGCTTATATCAGCTCCTGGCAAAGTTAGGAAGAACAAGCCACCTGTCCAACAAATTGCTTGGGCTCCAATGCTTCAAAAGCTTATATAGCATATCGTATATGCAGTAGGCAAACACACTACAACACAGATTCACAACACACAAGTCTTGCACTTGAACTCACGTTCATACTTTCATCTTTAGACGCTCATATACTTACACTTGAATACACACTTATACACAAGTGTTCAAGGTCCATCATTGCTAATCTCTCATTCTCTAAGCTTGCCTTGGTCTCAACCTCTCACCTCCAATGATCTTAGGCCATTAAAGTGCCCACCATCTTCCCAGAGGTCAACGACTAAATACCTCTACACACACCTTACTATATTATACTCCACTGAGGAAGAGTGGTACTTACTCCATATGGCGCTAAGAAAGAACATTATAACTATTTCGACAACATCCCAATGAGGCAATAGAGAGACTTTGGTAGAGACTTCGAAACACAACCCCAACATCTTTTTGGGACATCAATCCTCTCAATCGACTATAACAGAACAGCTATGTGCATTGGCTAAGAGTGTCACCTTTCTCCAACAGAACCAACAACTCCTAATGGATGCCCTACTAGCTTTACAAAGGGCACTTACCCTTCCATCTTCATTTAACCCTCTTTCGTCATCACAAAATGGAGCTTCGCCATTAGCTTAAACTAGCTCAAACGCCAACCCCACTTCACCAAACAACTTACAAGTAGCAAAAGGACAAGCAGTTGTCCCATCTCCTCCGTTGGTCCCAAACCAAGTACCTTCCTTGCAAGTTGCTTCGGTTGGTAGAGCTCACACTGCAGTAGCTTCAACTTGCTCTCCAGCTCCTCTGCCGACCTAAGCTTCGTTAACTCAATCATTGACACTGGATACAATGAAAGAACACATACATAGTCTACTTCAGACAAACAAGAGTTACATCTCTACTTCTCCAGAACTGGACCTTCGTTCCCTTTACCCTTTTTCACATTGCAAGTCTCTCATATTCGGTAGGATACACTGTTCCTAAGTTTGTCTATTTTTATGGATGAAAGGGGAATAGTAAAGAGCACGCACGCTTTCTTGATGCTTTTGGTGCACACCGAGAAAATCTTAACCCCTGTATGAGAGAGTTCTCCAAACCCCTCACAGATTGGGCATTCTCTTGGTATGCCAATCTCGCTGCTGGTTCCATCTTCTCATGGGAGGACTTGGTAAAGAAGTTTTATATCAAGTTCTTTTATGTTGAAAAACGACTGACCACTCTTCACCTCATGGAATAAACATAGTGGTAGGGAGAAAATATCTTGGTTTATGTTTGCCATTTCAGAGAAAATGTAGTAGACGTTCAAGACTCGATAGAAAACATCAACTGGTATCAATATGTATTGAAAGTATGCTCACAACTTACAAACTCTAGTTGGTCAACCACCACTTCCTCGACTTCTTCGGCCTACGTGCCACTGCTCAGAACATTAGTGAAACAATAAGATCAGGGGCACAAGTGGCAACACTGTAACCCCACTCGTGGCAACCAACGACATATCTACCCTCCTATAACATGCTCGGGGGTGACTTGTGAGCGTTAAACAGTTTGGACCCTTGACTTCTTTGATTTAATCTCACGAGTGTAATGTGAAATATAGATGAGAGTCCAGATTTGGCAACTATGGAAAATCTGTTTTATTATAAAACCTTGACCAAAAATGGACTGCATCACTAGATCTTAGAGTCGCCACCTAATATTTTGGAAAACTTAGAAAACCCATGACGCGTGCCAAGGCCACTGTTTGTCATAACCAAAGATGCTTGGCTCGGAACCTTAGTAATAAGAGAGGAAGGTCATTAATTGAGCACCCCCATTCACCCGATCAAAGATTGGCCTCTACTAAACCATGATATGAGTTTTATTGACTTTATATGTTCATATTTCGGTTATTAAATAAATCATGCAATTTATTATGTGAAATGAACAAGTATAGACTATGCCATTCATTTTAGAACAATTTGATTTCATGTATTTTGAAATAGTTTTGAAGATGTACAATTCAAATAAATTGAGTTTACAAATATGAAAATCAACGTCATTCCAAATTAAGCGACATAACATCCATTCACCGGTATTCATACAGTTATATCAAATAAGCAAGTAGTCCATGGTATGATGCTTAAATATAGTAAGAAAAACACACACAATCGGGATGCTAAAACATAAAAACTTACATATTTATTGACGTTCTGCGAACAGTTACAAAACAAAGTTAGCAAAATATGCATGATTTAGTAGAGACTGATCTTTGATCGGGGTGACTGGGATGCTTAATTCACGACCTTCCCCTCTCATACTTAAGTTTTCGAGCCAAGACAACTTTGGTTATGACGGACAAGTGGCCTTTGGCACGAGTCATTAGTTTCATAATTTTTTCAAAAATATTAGATGGCGACTCTGAAATTTGGCAATGTAGTTCATTTTTGGCATTTCTGATGATTAATAGATTTTTTAAGATTTGCTGGATTTAGACTCTCATTTGTTTTTCTGTTTCACATTGCACTTGTGAAACCAGATTTAAAACTACGGGAGTCTGAATTATAAGGAATCGCATCTGAGGAGACTAAATCCCTCCGAAGAGCGTGAAAAACCAGCTACAATATCATAGTAAGTCCATGTCATCATAAAATTGTATTTTTAATATGAGATTTCAAATTGAAATTACATGTTAAAAATGTGATTTCAATTTAAAATTACATTTCAAAATATAATTTCAAAAAACAAGCTAATTTTTTAAATAATTTGAAAATTAGGTCAATTTTCTAAATTATTTTTTTATTAGAATATTAAAAAAAAAGCAAAAAAACTCAAGATCTAAATCGGTGCCAAATAAAAAATGCAAAAAAAAGAAAATCGATTTTTCTTACCTCCTGATGCTTAAGTATGTTTCTTGTGGGAACAAAGTGAGTTCACTCATGGCGTTGAACTCAGACGACGACGATGACTGGGTGCTTCTGAGATGCACCGACCCTCATCAGACAGACCCGCCAGAGTCCGATCACACAGAGATTCTCATTTCAACCGCAGACATCTCCACCTGGGACTTTCCCACAATCCTCACTCACCAATTCTTCATAGTCAAGTCCAAACGAAGCAGGCAAGTCCAAAAGAACTCTTCCAAACTCCAATTCAAGTAACCAATGCTTGCTTCTCACCTTTCTTCGATTTCTTCATCTTTGACAGGCTCATCCAACACTCCTCGTATTTTCGTGGCCTTCTCTGCGGCACCTTTAGGTTTGTTTGATGAATCTTTTGCTTGTTATTAATGTTTGATCAAATTTAAAGGATTTGGATTTTGTATTTTTCGATTCTGAAAATGGGTTTTCATACTTGCGCAAAAATTGTGGGAACTCTTTTCTATGATTGATTTGTTTTGTTTTGTTTTGCTTCGGCTGCATTTGTTTTGGGCAAAGGGAGAGTTTGAATAGCAGAAGGTGATTTGAAATTGAATGTTATGTAAATGTTTGATTCTGTATTGCACAAGTAGAGATTTTGGTCATTGTCAATGGTGCCATTAACAAATATATGTTTGGGGAGCAACTTTGGGCTAAAATAAAATAAGTTATTTTAGCCAAATAGGACAAAATGTCACCTCTAACCCATAATTATTTCATTTTTTCTCTCACAAAAGAAAAAAAAACCAAAAACCTATCCAAACGAGGCTTTTTAGCCCCAGGCTAAAATAGTTAAAAAGTTAAAAAGTCAAAAAGTCAAAAAGGCGACCCACATCCCAAACGAAGGCATAATGATGCCTAATGGCTATAATAGTAAGTGTCTGTTTGGTGCATCTTATTGAGCTGCTTATAGGTTTTCTATTTTGGAAATATGTGGCAGAGTGTTTGGTGCAGTTTTTGCTTACAAAATATGAAGCAAAAATAGCTTAAATAAGCTGAAAAATCTAATTATTGGGAAGGAGGAGGAGAGGTGTTTTTAACTTCTGCTTTCTGATTATCAACTTTTAATTTGCTAGAAGCTACGTCAAATACGCCCTAAGTCAAGGACACCTAAAATTTATGAACTGTTAAGTGCTCTTCCTAGTTGGTGGCTTCAATTTCTTGCAATGGCTTTAATTTAGAAGATACATGGCTGATAATTGAGCATATAGCCCTTGAAATAGTAGAATGGCATAAAAGGATTCTTGTGGCTTACCTTACTAAGTCGGGACACAAAGTTTGGTTTGGTTTAGTTTCATGCTCATGTAAAAGCAAGACAGCCCTTCCGATTGCATGGACATCTAAACCACAAAATTGTTTCTCCTTTGAAAGTTGCTGGTGTAGCTCAATTCTTTCTTAAACCCATCACCCTTTCCCTCTACACATACACACGTGTTTATGTAAAGTTTTAGAAAGCTTGTAACGAGAAAATAATTGCAAATTAGGCCTGGTGAATGAATGAAGCAAAATTGAATCCAATGCTTATTCAGTTCATCCTTATGCTGATGTAAGCAGCAGATTTTTGAATTACTGCCTTTCTACATACCAACAATTTCTGATATCCTATTCTCTTTTATATTCATGCAGTGACTCAGGCCTAAATTGTATATCAATCAAGTGGAACCTAGAAACGTTCATGAGTATTCTAAAGATTATATTTGACTTTCCTGTGGATGTTACATCAAACAATTTTCTGCTTCTGTTTGAGGTAAAAATTGCACTGGCTCTTGTTTAAGTTGTTACCCCTTGTGCTAAATTCTCACCTACCTCAAACTTTATTTTGTAAGTTATGACTAACCATAGGTGATTATACTTCGTTTTAGGCAATAAAACTTTTATTTTTTTAACTTCGATAATAATAATATCTGTAAACTTTCTTTATAGGCCAGGGCATAAGTACAACGTTTTTTTTAAATTTTATTTTTAATCTGCGTTTCCTATTCAGAATCTAGAGATGGGCTCAAATGATGTTATGTTCCCAGTTAATGTAGCAACAAGCTTTACAAAACAAATTAGGTGGTATTTACCAAATAAGATTGGGTTGCAGTGGTATTTAAATTTGAAGTTTTATGGGCTTCGGATGAAGAATTGAGATATACATGGGCCAAACAACAATCAAAACGACAATAACATACACACACACAGTGGCGGATGCATGAATTTTAACTAGAGGGGGGCCCAAACTATATGTGTAAAAAATTGGCAACAAAATTTTAATTATTTCATTCATAGTGACCACATCATACAAAAGTTATACTAAAAAATACACCTATTTAAGTATAAAAATTGTAAAATACCTTTAAATTCTCAAATAAAAGATAATTATAATAGTACTTTTTCCATATTGTACATAATAAAAGAATAACATTCATCTTGGTGTTTTATAGAAACTTATCCAATAGATGCAAGTAATCATCTCATAAATGTTACAAATATTATCATTGATGAGAGTCTATTGGGAGCAAATTTCAACATTAATACTACAATGACCACATTTGTGTATATCATCTCATTTATCACTATTGTATTGGTTTAATTGGTCTTAATTGTCATGACTCATATATATTATCAATGTAGTGCTAACATATGAATGATAAATAAATCGTACTACATGATCATCATAATAGTAATAAAATTTTATTGGCATTAAAAAAATTTAACATTTTGGGGTCTTAATTGTTGTATGACTCGTATATATAACATATGAATCATAAATAAATTTTACTACATGATCATCATAATAGTAATAAAATTTAATGAGCATTAAAATAATTTAACATAAAATAATTTTTGGGGTCTTAATTGTTGTGTGACTCAGATATATAACGGCGGTGTTTGGGAACCTTTTAGACAGGCTATTTTAGCCTCAAATTGCAAAAAAACCTTTTAGCCTCAAATCGCCCCGCCTAACCCATTGATTTAAAAAAAAAAGAAAAAAAAGAAAAGAAAAGTAGTGGCTATCAGCAGCACAGACAACCTACACTGTCACCAACACAGTGTAGGCTGAGGCTACCACTGCCATCCCACAGACAGTTAAATGACCATTTTACCCTATAGATCAATTTTGGAAAAAATAAAGTTAGGGGCAAATTTGTCATTTTAACCTTAAAGATGATTTCAAACACATTTTTCAATACAACAATCAACCCAAAAATTTAACCCAACTTCCCAAACACAAAAACTAAAATTAAAATAGCCAAAAAGCCTAAAAAAAGCCACTTCCCAAACACCCACAACATATGAATGATAAATAATTTTTACTACATGATTATCATAATGGTAATAAAATGTTGTCAGTATTAAAAAAATTTAACATAAAATAATTTTTGGTAGCCACATCTTTCATGGGTAATGTGAGAAGCCTCGGGTTGGGGGGGCCACCCCTTGGTAATATACCATCCAAAGAACAAACTACAAAATGTATGAGATTTTGTGAAGGTTAGCAGGGGTAATAAAATTTTATCAGTATTAAAAAAATTTAAAATAAAATAATTTTTGGCAGCCACATCTTTCATAGGTAATGTGAGAAGCCTTGGGTTGGGGGGGTCACCCCTTGATAATGTACCATCCAAAGAAGAAACAAATTACAAAGGGTATGTTTGGTTTGGTTTTGGAAGAGTAGTTTTTAAAAATTGTTTTGGGGAGAGTTTAGAATTTTTTTGGTTTGTTTGGTTTTATATTTTGAAAGTAGTTTTGGAGTTTGAGAGTTTGGAATGATTTGATATTTTGTTATAATTGAGTAGATGTGTGTGGGAGAAAAAATGATTGAGAAGGAGAGAGGAGAGAGAAAAAGTGATTAATTGATAGGTAAGAGAGAGAAAGTGATTTTGGAAATTGTTTTGGAAAATTTACAAACCAAACAATTTTTTTAGAAATTTTTTCCCAAAATCACTCTACAAATCCAAACCAAACATACCCAAAATGTACGAGATTTTGTGAAGGTTGGCCCCCCCTCTTGCTGCCACTGCACATACACACACACACACAAACAGAAACTTTGTACCTAGCTTGAACGAAAGATTTAGGGTCAAGGAAGAGAAAGAGAGAGGGAAGCCTAGATATTCATATTTCAAACAATTACACCTAGATGCTGTATGGAATCTCACACAATAACACCGAAAGGATTGTGACAATCTTCTTTCATTTACTTATTTAAAGCTCATTGCATTATTATTCATATGCTTGGAAAATGTGTAAGCTTGTCTCACACAAGGGCACTGAAAGGACCACGATAATCTTCTTATGCATTTAGTTATTTCAAGTCCATAATACACCGCTGTTTATATGCCAACCTGAAAATTATGGAAGTGTAAGCCAAGTAAAGCTGGAGAACTACTCAAGCTAAGATTTGCTCCTGCATTACCAGACCCAACAAATTAAATCGCACATAACAAATTAATGAAATACCCATTGTATAAGAAACCTACTTATAACAATGTAACTGTAGGACCATTACTTTATTGTGTCATATGACTCCAAAATTTTTGTCGATAACTGCTGGAAATGACAACTGAATATTAGTTCAACTGTGATCAAGATGCTGAGATAGACAAGTAAATAAAGCAGGAAATCAAAATCAGAAAGTAAAGTGCGTTGAAAAAATATTTGAAGTAGTCTTAGCGTGATTGACTAGGATAGTGTCTATAGCTACTTTCAAGTTGTTAATCTAGGCTAGATGAAGATGGCATTTGTGCTGAGTTCCATGTCTTTGACTACATTTCCCGCTGAGAACCTTTCTTGCTGTTTGACCTTCTGCTTGTCATTTGTTAGAGTTATTTAGGCTCTGAACTTTATGATCTGTGATATCTTTTTTTGACTTTCTTTCTATTGTATTTTTTTTGTTACACTTAACTATCAGCATAAAAGGGTAAATTATTTATGTTTTCAATCAACTTGAAATGCTTTACATTATTTATTTTTGTCTGTTTGCATAACGTTTTCAGGGTGCATTATTTTTTGGAGTGGAGTTGCTTCTTTTGAAATTGAAGGCTTGGTTAATTGATGTAACATCATTGAAAGACCTTTGCTCATTGCAAATACAATTGGATGATTTAATCAATATTTGGAAGTTTGGTATAGAACATGGTGAGTATTCTTTATAATTCTTTGAGCCTATTATAAAGGATTGAAAAAGAAAAGTTATTTTTTTTGTTTCAGTTTCTTGTTTGATGGCAATATTATGGTATCAGTCTGATAGATGGAACTTGAATATGTTGCAGCAAGTGATTTCATTCCAGAACTCTGTACAAGCTATCTTGCGAGGAACTTTGTATGTGCTTAACTACTACATAGCTTTTTGAATAGCCACCATTTACTCTAATATTCTTCCTGGTTACATCTGTGATTGGAAAGTTGGTTTCAGTAGATGCACATTTTATGATGTAGGACAGAATTTTTAAAGTTTTTATTTTTTTAGTTTTAATATTTTTGATATAGTATTTGACTAGGAAACTTGTAATATCCTAGAATTATTAGGTTTTGAATTTGCATTGATTTTGTTTTCTAAATTTTAGGTTACTTATTTCCAAGACTTAGGCCAGTTGATTGCTTCCTAACTTTTAGATTGCTTGCTGTCTAAGATTACTTTGTTTCCAAGACTTGGTTTATTTTAGATACCCATGTAAGCCTTAGCGAATTCAACTTATTATTAATAATATTAAGAGATTTTCTCTTCTTTGTGGATTCAAGGTTCTTTCTTGTAGATTTGAGAGTCCCCCCCCCCCCCGGCGGCCCCCGAGGCCTTTTTGTCTACTACTACGATATCTAATTTGGTGTGATAATTCTTCTGCGTCATTTTAGTATATTGAAGTATTACTGGTTTACTGAATTTGGATTCAAGAGATGCTATCATTTATCTAAAGACATTTTAATCAAGAATAAAAGAAGGAATCCAAGCATGGGCTCATCCCAAATAAAACTTGGTTTTATGGAATTTGTTTTCTTTACATAAATTTGAAAGTGTTTTGTTGAGTAGACTTATTTGAGCCCAAAAATATACAAAGAAACTCTAATGTTATATTGTCAATCAAATATTCGTACTCAAATAAATATAGATAACAGATACACGAGACAATTATCAATACAATACACTAACAACACTTCACCATCACCGCATACACTATTTGAATTGGTGAGTTTCTCACCACACTACCCTTTTGGTTGCTCTCTACTACACTACTCTATCTCCGTTGCTATACCTCTAACATGAGGTATTTCGCCCTTCTATAGCCATCCACCTCCTCAATAGATGGCTAGGAACAATTTTTTTAAGAGTTTTTATTAAGCTTCTAGAATATTCTAGGATACTTTCTTCATTCCACTATACTCTATTATTGTTTACTCTACTCTAGTACTGTAGAGTTTTCTACATTTCTTTAGAATATTTTAGAAGCTTTCAGAACCTTCTAGATTTCTCTAGGTTTCTTTAGGATTCTCTCATGTTCTGGATTCTTGTAGGATGTTCTAGAACCTTCCAGATTTCTCTAGGACTTTCTAGAGTCTTCTAGGTTTTTCCAATATCATAGAATGTAGTAGAAAATTGTAGTGTGTTGAATCTCAACATGTTTTATGCTACATTTTACCTTCCTAGAAGTAGAAGCAATACTATCTTTTTTACTTACAAGACACAGTTAATGGTTAGAGGGCTATGATTTTTCTAGTTGTTGATAGCTTCACTCAAGCCTTACATAGGTTTTGTAAGCTTTTTGACTAAGGCAATAGATTAGAAGTCAAAGTCTGTAAATGGGTCAAATTCTGTGCAAATCTCACTGAACCTGTTTGACATTGATACATATATCCTAATCTGAATTCAAATTTGAGTCTGGCTGATCCTAAGTGATTGTAATCAATTGCATAAGTAATTAGGATTTTAATCTTAAAAGTATTATCGTCTACATTATTAGATTAATTGAGGCTTTAGTTACTTAGAAGACATTGAATACCTTTAATTGATATCATGATGAAATCAGTATAAACTAGCAAACTGAAAATTTCACACCCATAAATTCACTGCACATTTGATTTTCTCTCTCTAACTTGCCACTTTTGACAAATATAAACTAACTGTATATCATCAATCCAGAGATTGAGGCTACATCAAGTTAAATCTGATTCTAATTAGTTTTATCAGGCTGGGTTTATGTTCAAACTGGTAAATCTTAACTGGTAAATTGGTAAATCTATAAATTAGCATGCGTCTTTACTTCAAAGAACTAATGCTATGCAATTTTTAAATACTTTACTTTGCTTAGTTCTTTGATTGTATTATAATGCTGTATCATCAATCCATTGTTCTTTGCTTAGTTCTTTTTTCGCAATCAGTAGTAGATGAGAAGGCAACCGGTGGGGGAAGAGCCTTGTAACACGAATAGACTAACAATGAAAGAGGAGACAGAGCAGGAAGAAGAATAGGAGGAGGTGAAGATGTGGGAATAAACTCAGGAGGGGACAATAGAGGTGCTCATCAGAAGGACCTCATAAGGAAATGGATCAATGTGAACCAAATCCTTTTTGGAAAGAGGTAGTGGTAGGGAGAAGTTGAAAGTAAGCCAGGTGTTCAAGCAAGGCAACGTGGCTGGAGACATAAAGGTGACTGGAAATAGGGTCATAACATCGATAACTCTTTTGAGTAAGACTGTGATCCAAAAAGACACACAGGACAGACTGGACACTTAGTTTGGTCCTATCTTTCTAAGAAAGAAGAACAAAACAGGCAAAACCAAAGACGCGAAGGAGAGAATAATTCAAAACTTGGGAAACCAAAGCCTTAAAAAGGGAGTGACTAGAGAGAAGGGGAGTACGCATATGGTTGAGAAGAAACGCAATAGTAAGAATTGCCTCACCCCAAAACGAGGCCAGAATAGAGGCAGAGAGAGGAAGAGACCGAGCAATCTTAAGCAGATGACGATGTTTACGTTCAGCATTGCTATTCTGGGCAGGTGGATCAGAATAGGAAGATTGGTGAATGGTACCTAAATTAGCTAAATACTCACAGAACTCAATTTTAAAATATTCCTTACCTAAGTTAGATCGTAAGATTTTAACAGTAGACCCAAACTGTGTGGTGATCATAGATTGAAGGTATAGTATATCTGGTAGAAGTTAGACTTATGAGTCATAAGATAAACTCAAGTATAACGGGTGCAATTATCAACAAACGATGCATAGTACGTAGAACACCCTTTGGTGAGACATCAGTATGCATGAGAGAAAAATGTGTAATAGAAATAGAAGTATTTTTATTAAAAGTTAATGCTGTCATTTTGTCAAGAGTACACCCCCGACATTCGGTAAGTTGACTAGAAGAAACTTTACCTAACAATCATGACTAAGCTAAAGACTGCAAGCAATTAGCAGACAAATGGCCTAATCAGAATGCCATAAATAAAATGGACTTGAAAGAAAATCTAACTGAAAAGATGAAAAAGCAGCCAAAGAGGTAGTCAAAAGTAGATGCAAGCTCTCTACGAGTGGTCTCCAACTCTACAATTGGTTCTAATCTGTTGCTTGGACATTTGATCTTGCACATTACAGACATAAGAAGAAAAGATAACCTTAAGATCTGAAGCATTAAGCTAACTGATAGATAATTGAGGTCCATAAAAGACAGAGGGAATAATAGCAGCAGACATGGCAGAAGGTAAGATAGACCCAAAAGATAGAACATACGGACTAGACCTATTGGTAACATTAACAATAATAGGGAAGGGAGGGGGAATACAATTGTGGAGTAAGGAGAGATAAGAAGTAACAAGAATGGTGTCTTTGTTGAGATGTCAAAATTGGAGGCTGGGGTCAAAAGAAGTAACATCATCATTCCAAAAGGGGCTGAGGGTCAGGGTTGGATGTCATTGGCCAAGATGCTTGAACGAGTTATCCATGGAGACTTTAGGGTTAAGAATGATGAAAGAGAGATGAGGACTAAAGACAAGAGAGGACAACATCGAAGTAACCAAGATTTATTAAGGAATTGCTGAGGAAACACAGATGAGAACATGATTCCTTATTAGAAAACAAGGGCAAACAGAGGAGCTTTATATGTTGATGTGCTTAAGTCTAAATCAGGTAGTTTGGGAGGTAATCACTTTGTTTTGGAGATGCGCAATGGGGTGGTATGCACCAGAGTTGACTTCTTCAATGAGTGGGCACAGATTGAGAAGGAATTAAATCGATCTTTTAAAGCTTCAATTGTTCTACGGCCTTTTCAATTAAACAAGGCTCTGTTTTTTGCAAAAAGTATTGAGGAGGCTGATTACTATGGTGCTCAAGGAGTATGTTTCTTTAATAAGAGCATTGTAGTGAGGTTGGAACAATGGTCGAAGGAGAAGCACGGTAGGGCCGATGTCATCGCTTCAAATGGAGGTTGGGTCTCTGTCTGTGACTTGCCTTTCAATCTCTGGAATGATAGGGTTTTTGAATGGATTGGGTCGAAGTGTGGTGGTTTGATAGAGGTGGATCGTAGAACCAGAACTCTCGGAAGTCTCTTTGAAGCTAGATTGGGTTCTTACCTGCAACTATTAATGTTCAGTTTGATGATATTTCTGTTGTTGTTCGATTAAAGGCTCTATCAAAGCCTGTCGGAAGACGGGAGGTTCACTGACAATGAAGGTTTTCAGGCGACTTCAACGTCGGAGAAAAGGAATGTGAGGAGTCTCAAGGGACAACCTCTATACGTGGCAAAATGGAGAGGAGAAGGCAGTTGGGTGATTTGATCAAGGTGGGTGCTGGTAGTGGATGAAGAAGAACAGACGAAAGGGGTAGTCAGTCTGGGGGATTAAATTTTCATAGGCTTGGCCAAGGAGTGGGCTTAGCCCAAGATTTGATAGTTTCTAGTAAGAATAATTATGGTGGTGGGTTGGAGTTGTTAGGCCCAAATGATATTCAAATTTACAATGTTCTGAGCCCAGTCCTTAATGGGGCTCCAATTAATGTTATTACTCATAACGAGAGGGGCCCAAGTGTTGTTGAAGACCCAACAATTGTTCTTCCTAACCCACTGGAGGTTTCAGGGTTGGGTTCGGGTCGTTAGGCAGATCAGGTTATTTTGGGCAAACGGGTTACAAATTATGAGTTAGTAGGAGATGAAGAACTCCGATGAAGCTCAGTGATTGAGGAGAGGAGTCAATTCTTGCCCTGTGATGCATCAGATCCAGATGATCGTGCTTTACATGTATCGTCGCACCTTCGTGGAAATCTGAATACAGAGGAAGCACAATTAGGGCTGGCAGACTTGGTTGACAGGTCAGTTAAGGATTTTCAAAGATTACATGG